GGGTTAGAGCTTCACGGATATGGAACACTCTTCCCGATGAATTACGTCTACCAGAGATTTCATACCATCGATTTAAATCCCTCCTTTCCCAATATTACCTAACTACCACCAAGACCACCTTCGGCAAAGATCACCCCAAGTCGGCATGTAGTAAAACACTGACTACCGGAACACCGGAACACCACCGGAACACCGCCGGAACACCACTGGAACACCACCTAACCCTAACCCCAACCCTAACCCCCAACCCTAACCCTAACCCCAACTCTAACCCCAACCCTAACCCTAACCCCAAACACTAACCCCAAACAAAATGGCGGTGTTCCGGTGTTCCGGTGGTGTTCCGGTGTTCCGGTAGTCAGTGTTTTACTACATGCCCCCCAAGTCATGGAAAACAATATGTCCCAAGTGCCATCTAGCAAGATCATTAAAAACGTTCAAGAACTGTTGTTTCTAGGACTAGCCTTGATGGCTAATGTGGACTTTGAACTGTAATTATATGTAAATAGATAGATGTGTTGTGTACGTTTCGAGTTCGAGTGGATGTATTGTTAGTACTGTCTGTAGAACCAGGGCATCAACGTAATTGGCTGACGCTGTGTTGATGTACCTGCACCGTTGTTTGTTGTATACATTTTTGGCGGCAAAGTTTATAAATAAATAAAAGTAAAAAAAAATTTGAATTCGTATGAATTGGTCAGCCCGAGGTAATGTATTGAATCAATATTTGAGGAACACTTCAATTGGAACGACAGTAACTCATGAAAATATTTTTACCATTGCTCTTACAAACATTCATTATTTGTATAATATATAATAAACTATAACAATCGAGAAGGCATTTACTATAGCCGAAAAGCGTGTTGAAAAAAGAGGCGCAAGCCAATGGTTTCACACACGTCAGTATAACTGGGGACTTACTAACCTTCGACTTGTATGAGGCGTGTGAACCTCCGAGATTTACTAGAACAGTAGATTTTCATCAAAAAATCATCAGTATCGTACTACAATATACAAACTATATTTCGACTGTATAAGCTATTTAATTAACGCGTTTATGAAAAGCTCTTTAAGGCGGCTTTCCAGTTATAAGCGTTTTTTTATATTTGCTGTGTTGGTGTAATGTACTCAGGTAAATAAGATGCTTGTGTGATGTTACTCTGAGTGTATATCCACACCGGGTAGGCTTGCCGAAAAAATATGCCTGGCCACCGTGGCCAGGCATATTTTTCAAGCCTACCCGGTGTGGATATACACTCAGAGTAACATCACACAAGCAGTAGATTTTCAAGGGGAGGGGCCTTGCATGGTTCTTCGAGTCCTGTTTGCGCCTCGCCCATTTAGGGTCTCCGAATAATTGATTATATAATTAGACTTTGTGCATATACTTTAGTAGACCCTAATAAAGACAATAACAATAATATATTAAGAAACAGTCTTCTCGTTTGTTATTTTTAATGCTTCTAAGTTCTAACTCTCAAATGGACATATTTTTAAAGAGAAGTTTAACGTAAAAGTTTTAAATAAATTTATGAGGGTTTATGACCGTGGTATCAGGACAACACAACGTTACGGTACTGGTTCGCTTTGTTTTTGCTTATGAATTATTAATGTTTAAGAAGTACTTGCCAAAATCATGGTTGACTAGATTGTATGCAAGTTTGCCTTTGGAGTTCTCGTTTGTTTATTTCTAGTTTAGTTTCAGCTGATTAAATTATTAAAATATAATTAAAATAGGGTTTAAATTTTAGTTCTACAATCTTGAAAAAAATATTTGTAGACTTCTCGAAAAATACACCCAAATTTGAAAACTTATGATGAAAATGTGAGCATTTTTCAATTAAAGCAATTAACTATTTACCTTAAATCCCCCCCCCCCCCAGAAACAATGTTGGTTCAGGTAAAGTGGATTTGCAACACATGTCACCTAAATATCAACATTGTATAAGGGGGGAGGGGGACAAAGTTTGAAACTAATTTAAGAAGCCTACTAATTTTTTTCCAGGATTGTAGTTGACTAAAACAACACTATTCTTGGGTTTCATATGACGTCACAGGGGGGGGGGGGTCAACTGTAAAACAAAACACAGTTATCAGAGTGAGTCGATTGCTCATTTTATGTATTAGCCTTGTATTTGGTGACAAATACATCGGCGCGGAATTTTGTATCATTTTCTCACTCCAGTACAGTATAAGCATCAATACATTTGAGATTGACCTCCGTCAGATTCACTGCATAATGCCGTAGTGAAACCCAAAAATTCTTTTCTCTTTTGCAATTTGATCATTGGAAACGATGTCACTAATTAAATGTAGTGAGCAAAGTGACATCATTGAATTAGCGGTGGCGTCAGCTAATTACATGACGTCAACAATAGGCTTGGCGGTATTTACATTCGTTTCCCGGGAAACGTGATTCACTTTTTCTCTTTTTTCGAAGAGAAAGGTTTATATCGCTGTTTTTGAGTGAAAATTACTGAAAGAAACTTATTTGAAAGTGACTAAAAGTGTTCTGAACTTCTGAAATGTCTGCAATGTAAGTACGAAGCGTTTTTCTTTCCCCTATAAGCTTTTAAAGTGTTATTTTTGGAAGTTTTTCGAACAATTTAACGATGTGTTTGCATTATTAAGCATGTCTTTTTCGATTATGGATTTACTTGCCATATTTAATAGAGACAACGCTACTATCAATATTGAAGATACTAATACACGGATTGGTCAGAAAGTAAGAAACTCTGATTTTAATTTTATTGCTGTTGTTGTTTCGGTTTAAAAGATTATTTTTGCCAAAAGCTTTTCCAAGCCATCCAAGCCCAAGGCCTTCTTGACCATGCACTTTAAATAAAACTGCAAATGAACTGTGCCTGTGGATACACAATAACGAAGAGTTTTAATTAATATTTTTAATGCTACATTGTCATGAATATTACATTTAAAAAGCATTTTACTCGAATATTACTTTTAAAGCATTTTACTCGATGATTTTTGAGCTGTACCTATATTTTATTTATTTTTTATATTCCTTAAATAGTTTATGACGAGACCAAGTACTGTTGTAACTACGGAAAGATCACTTAGATCAGCACCTCAAGAAAAGTAAGACTCTATTATTCAATATATTTGTGTACTTTATTTCATATCATAGTAATTTGGTTTTTGGGATAGGACAGGTTTTGGATAGGTTTTTAAAACCTCGTTTAAAATTAGGATGACCATGCATGTTGACGGCAACTTTTACTCACAAAAAACTTATTTTGGTTCATTTCTCGGTGCTTTTGGTGTTTTGTTAGAACTGAGGTGCTAGTTCAAATTTATTTTAGACTTAATTATCATTTTTTCTCGAAATTCTGTTTGCTAAAATAAAATTTGAAAAGAACAGTTGTGATTTTGAAAAAAGAACAGAGTTTCGTTACCATGACAACGTGCAGCATAACATCGTCGCCGAAGGTGAAATTCTTTCTAATCATATTTTAAATCCAGGAATCATTGGAAAAAGGGTTTTTGTACATTTCTATAGCTTTTTTTCTTTTCTTTATTATTATAGCTATATACAGTATTAAATTTGAACTCAGATTAAAATAAACTAGTCTTCAATTTTTCGTCGACACGTTGCGATTATATTTTTCAGTAAAAGTGTAATTGAGTGAAATACATACGTTTCTTTCTGACTATTTTTACAGTTGAAAATCTAGTGTTTGCACAAGCCTGCAAGCGACTAAAATATTTTTTAAACATATAGTTTAATTGATACATTGATTAAAGGCTCGTTCAAGCTAGTCACACACCGTCCACTACGGTTTGTCCAACAACACCAATTGGATCAACTTTATATAGTAAAGTCAAACCTGATAGTCCAGTATCTTCGACTTACTCAAACGGGCCTTTAAGAATAAATAACGCTGACAATATAAATTAGTTTATCAAAATGTATCCGTAATTTTTTGCAGTTTCTCATCGCGAAAGCGAGCCCTGTCTTCCGATGAAACATCACAACCTCCAACCAAACGCGTAAGTAAAGTACAGTGTATATGTATTTCTGGTATAATTTTAAAACATCTGAGGCCTATACTTTGTCTTTGAGCTCAAAGGAATTTGCCTATCCAGCGTTTATTTGTTAGAAACAACTTCTTATTATAACAGCAAATTTAGTTTCTTGTGACATTTTCCGAATAATCTTTTAATTCGGATCATTTTTTCGCTATCCCGGCTCTTCACTTCAGGTATTCATTTAAATTAATACTGTTTAAAACTAGTAATTGTTAAAATACAACTTTATTTACCAACCTGGAAGCAATTGGCTGGTAGTTTTTTTGTTCTATACTCTTATTCGGGCCTAATAATATGTAGTTTTAATTCTGCAAAACTCTTTTAGTTTTCGTAACGCCATCTTGTTTTCGCTATACTCACAGTGGATGACTATACCGTATATTATAAAAGATAGACATATTATTACGTGATCTGTAGTGGCCACTGACATAATTTTATACTGTAAATCTTCTATTGAGCCCATTTATCTAATAAACTACCTTTTCAAATCTCCATCTCTATACTTCCCCATTCTCCCCCACGTCCCTCACAACAAAGAAACGTGTGTGGCTGAATTGACTATTAACAGGCAATTCCAGCTTTTAATTTATGCGTGCAGGGGGGATGGGAAGTAAGGTATCATATTGCTGATTATGCTGAAAAAATAAAAATGAGTGATAGCTTATACTTGTAAATATTGAAATATTTCGGTTGTTTCGGCAGTTTTTTTTGAAATTTTTCAGCATGATCATCAATATGATACCTTACTTCCCGTCACCCCCGCGCGCAAAAATTAAAAGCTGGAATTGCCTATTGCATGCCATGTGACTTCACGTTAGTTTACTCCGCTTCGAAAATCTTGCGTTTCGGCTTTATTGACAAGGCCCCCTCTCCAGTAAGCCCCCACCTGAAACATTCTTGAAATAAATAATTTAACACTAACTTTCTATTTTGTAAGCGCAATCTACCTACCATATTGGACTATAGGCATATAGCTGTTGTTTTATACTGATTTTCATTCACCAAAAAATAGAATAATTTTTTGCCGGACAATGCATGTAAAAGGTTTATTTGCTTATTTATTTTATTATAGTTAAATACAGTTTTAGCGGGTGAAACACCAGTAATCAACTGCAGAAGGTATAGTGAGATAACAAATATACAATTTATGTAGTAAGGTGGTTCTGCGTTTGTTAACTTCGATACATATTAAAATGTTTTCTAAGGTTTCAACCCTAATTTTTAACGATTGAAATAGAATTCATTCTATTTATTTTAGCAACTTAAATTTAATGCTATATTAAAACCAATGCGAAGTACCAGCTATAACCATAGAAAACTATTGGTCAATGCAAAAACCGTGATATTGTTACTATTAAATGTAGCTTAAAGGGATATGGCACTAAAAATTCAGTTTGTCTCATACGAAAGAACTTTTAGAATTGTTTGGAAAACAATTTACAGCAGTACAGCTACTTCAAATATCTTGACCCAAATATAAATAATATTTTACCCTGGGTCCAGTTGTTTAAAGGTGGGTTAGCTTAATCCTATATTTATCTAAAATTCAAAGCAAACTTCCTGACAGCTTGTTTATAAATTTGGAAATATTTCTTTAAAAATCTTGCCTGGATCAGTACTTCAGTAGGAGTTTTCTTCTCAGGAGGTCCGAATAAACAGACGTGCAGAAATATGTCAACAAAAACAGCGGCCGGCTTAAATTTTAACCGAGGGCACAGAATAAAGATCAGTACCAGAAGGGCCACTCAGCGGTGCAACGTGTCGCCATTTTTCTATGCAAAAATATGCAGTTGACTGGCCAGAAGGCGGGGCCTTCAGCCAATACAGCGCGTTCATTGGCCAGAAAATGTAATCGACTGGCTAGGAAGATGGCGGCCAGGGGGCCCTTCTGTGTGCCTTATTCTGTGCCGAGGGTCAGCGCTAATCTAGCTTTGAACAACCAGCCCCTGGTATGCAATTGTCATTCAGCGAGTCCGAAATTATACTTCCGTCACTACGTTAAATAACAAATTGACTGACAATTTAAGCATCTACGTAAGAGTTAATTACCTGGAAATATTTTATATGACTTTAACCCTGCTTTTGAAGCTAAAAACCACCCTTAATGAGACCAAGAACCAATTCAAGATGGCGGACAGCAAATTGTTTTCGGTCAAAATATTTCACAAGGACTAAGCAAGATATGAAAAATATAATTTGAAGAGTTCTGTCAAACGAGACCAAACTTAATTTGTATTGCCATATCTCTTTAAAGGGATCGATAATAATGCTTCACGCTTTTTCAATGAAATCTTTTTAATCCCAAACAATGTCTACGAAACAGAAACTGACAGAAACTGTATTAAAATCATGCAGGACATGAACTCAATCTCGACATATCACTAGCAATAGGAATTACAATATTTTGACCACAGAAAATAGTTGTAGATTAGTTAGTAAATAATTTCTCAAATATTTTGTTAGTGACGTCATTCCTGCAGTGTCACGTGGGTTAGCAACCGTCGAGGCCTGCAATCAGGCCACGTTGCAGAAACCACGTGATGTAGTAAGTGGAGACATTCTTTATCTTTGGATAGATCTGGAGCCGGTTGTATAAAACTCTT